CATCTGAGCGCGTGTACAACCGCCGTATGACTAAATGACGTCACCCACGAGTCAACGTGACTTAGTCAAACAAGGCGTCCATGAACATAGTCCATACCATACTCAGTAAGTAAACATACATAACAACATCACATATTAGGATTGAACGAATAGCGGAAATATTCAATATTCAATCGTGGACCACACATGGCCAAAACGTAGGCACGCAGGCCCAAAACAATTGTATTTATTACAAAGTATCCATGAGCATAGTTTATAGTTTAAAAACAATAAAGGAAGCACGAACCACGTCTCCCTTTAGATCACTTCACCGAGCAAGGTGAGAATAGCAAACTTGAGCTTCAACCTGAAATGGTCCCCCCCCCCCCCCCCCCCGAAGGGGTCAGTACAAGCACCGAGCGAGTAGCAAGCTAAATGTAGAATAACTAACGTTTCAAGTATAAGACCCAAACATAGGGTGATACATATACGTATAGTCTTTCCCCCAAGTTTTGAAATACATATTAGTATATATACACTTGGAAATACCCGACCCGTAGGTCATTGTTTATTTGGGAAAATAATAGAAGCCAATGTCCTTGACTTAAATCCCAACCCACCCATATACCTATGAGTGTATAGAACTCCTCGTTCAAATAAGTTATCATAAGGACATCACCCGGTCCTAAATCATTAAAATGTAATCTATGAGTTTTGAGGATAACCGCCCGATCCTTGGGTACTCCACCCTATAACCGAGTTTTGAGGATAACCGCCCGATCCTTGGGTACTCCACCCTATAACCGAGTTTTGAGGATAACCGCCCGATCCTTGGGTACTCCACCCTATATAACCGAGTTTTGAGGATAACCGCCCGATCCTTGGGTACTCCACCCTATAACCGAGTTTTGAGGATACACGCCCGATCCCTGGGTACTCCACCCGACCTATGACTTACCACATATCACACTAGATAGGGTCTATATCATATCTTACTAAAGACTAAACCAAGTCTTAGAATTAAATCAATAAATATCAAACCTTGACATTTAAATATCATATTCCATGCAATTCCATGCACAATATACTTATATAGGACGGCCGGGGTTAATCCCCCCTTCGAACCGGACCCCGAACCGCATTTTCAGCGAAAATGGAATTCGGTGGCAGCAGCTTAACCGGCACCGGTTATGCCCTATAACTGGCGCCGGTTATGTCCGGAAATTTGGGTCAACGGCCCGTTGACCCCCGAGTTGAACCCCGAAACGTGCTCCGTTTGGCCCGAAATTTTTATACAACATATATCATGTCTAAAACAACAAATAAATGCCATTTTGGTCATCCAAAACATCACAAATGTTTTTATACATTTTTCATACTTTTCACATGCATAATCATGTAGTTTCATTCACATAAGCCTAATTTCCTTGGCTAATTACATGTTTAAACTATCTTAACATCATTATGAATACTTATAACATTTATTTAAGTAATCTCATACTTAACCCAAGAGTTATAAGACATTAAGCCGTCCACACACCTCAAATGAGCGTGATGAAGTTCTACCCTTCTCGGTTGAACTCCGGCCAAACTCCGGCGAACTCCGGCGACAACTCCGGCGACAACTCCGGCGACTCTTTAAACTTCGTGAAAGCTCTTAAATCACCTTTGACAAGTCCCTAACAAGGTTTTATCATCACAAAACCCATATCAATACAAATAACCTCTAAAAGGTTATTTTCCGGTGAACTTGTCGGTTTAGCTCCTAAGTCCATTTTTGGACTTAGAACTATCTTCCAACCCATCATTCTACACTTAAGTCATGTAGAACAATCCTCAAGGGATGCCTAAGAGGAAAGCAAAGCAAGGGATGCCGAAGAGGCAAAGAATCTCCTTGTTCCTAAGCTTAGGAACAAAGTTCTCTTTGGGCCATCAGGTAAAGAAGCTTAGGAACAAGGAGATTCTTTGCCTCTTCGGCATCCCTTGCTTTGCTTTCCTCTTCTGCATCCCTTGAGGATTGTTCTACATGACTTAAGTGTAGAATGATGGGTTGGAAGATAGTTCTAAGTCCAAAAATGGACTTAGGAGCTAAACCGACAAGTTCACCGGAAAATAACCTTTTAGAGGTTATTTGTATTGATATGGGTTTTGTGATGATAAAACCTTGTTAGGGACTTGTCAAAGGTGATTTAAGAGCTTTCACGAAGTTTAAAGAGTCACCGGAGTTATTGCCGGAGTTCGTCAAAGTTCGCCGGAGTTTGGCCGGAGTTCAACTGAGAAGGGTAGAACTTCATCACGCTCATTTGAGGTGAGTGGACGGCTTAATGTCTTATAACTCTTGGGTTAAGTATGAGATTACTTAAATAAATGTTATAAGTATTCATAATGATGTTAAGATAGTTTAAACATGTAATTAGCCAAGGAAATTAGGCTTATGTGAATGAAACTACATGATTATGCATGTGAAAAGTATGAAAAATGTATAAAAACATTTGTGATGTTTTGGATGACCAAAATGGCATTTATTTGTTGTTTTAGACATGATATATGTTGTATAAAAATTTCGGGCCAAACGGAGCACGTTTCGGGGTTCAACTCGGGGGTCAACGGGCCGTTGACCCAAATTTCCGGACATAACCGACGCCAGTTATAGGGCATAACCGGTGCCGGTTAAGCTGCTGCCACCGAATTCCATTTTCGCTGAAAATGCGGTTCGGGGTCCGGTTCGAAGGGGGGATTAACCCCGGCCGTCCTATATAAGTATATTGTGCATGGAATTGCATGGAATATGATATTTAAATGTCAAGGTTTGATATTTATTGATTTAATTCTAAGACTTGGTTTAGTCTTTAGTAAGATATGATATAGACCCTATCTAGTGTGATATGTGGTAAGTCATAGGTCGGGTGGAGTACCCAGGGATCGGGCGTGTATCCTCAAAACTCGGTTATAGGGTGGAGTACCCAAGGATCGGGCGGTTATCCTCAAAACTCGGTTATATAGGGTGGAGTACCCAAGGATCGGGCGGTTATCCTCAAAACTCGGTTATAGGGTGGAGTACCCAAGGATCGGGCGGTTATCCTCAAAACTCGGTTATAGGGTGGAGTACCCAAGGATCGGGCGGTTATCCTCAAAACTCATAGATTACATTTTAATGATTTAGGACCGGGTGATGTCCTTATGATAACTTATTTGAACGAGGAGTTCTATACACTCATAGGTATATGGGTGGGTTGGGATTTAAGTCAAGGACATTGGCTTCTATTATTTTCCCAAATAAACAATGATCTACGGGTCGGGTATTTCCAAGTGTATATATACTAATATGTATTTCAAAACTTGGGGGAAAGACTATACGTATATGTATCACCCTATGTTTGGGTCTTATACTTGAAACGTTAGTTATTCTACATTTAGCTTGCTACTCGCTCGGTGCTTGTACTGACCCCTTCGGGGGGGGGACCATTTCAGGTTGAAGCTCAAGTTTGCTATTCTCACCTTGCTCGGTGAAGTGATCTAAAGGGAGACGTGGTTCGTGCTTCCTTTATTGTTTTTAAACTATAAACTATGCTCATGGATACTTTGTAATAAATACAATTGTTTTGGGCCTGCGTGCCTACGTTTTGGCCATGTGTGGTCCACGATTGAATATTGAATATTTCCGCTATTCGTTCAATCCTAATATGTGATGTTGTTATGTATGTTTACTTACTGAGTATGGTATGGACTATGTTCATGGACGCCTTGTTTGACTAAGTCACGTTGACTCGTGGGTGACGTCATTTAGTCATACGGCGGTTGTACACGCGCTCAGATGCGGTCTGGGGCATGACACTTCAAACACTTTTTCATGAGATATAACTGACTTCAGCATTTAGTATGTGCAATTCCACCTAGTTTGAACATCAAGGTGTAGTCCACACTCAATGTTCTAAAACGCGCCCAAAGACGCCACCTAATCAGGCCTAGGCGTGAGGCGTCCGCTTAAAGCCCCGCATACCCATGATGCGTTGCCAAAGGTGGTCAACTGTAGTGTTGACCATTTAGGCTCAAAGAGGAGCCGACCTACAACAACTTATTCGAAGGGAGAGAGCTGGAGTTTTTTTCTCAATTAATGTTAGAAAATAATTAATTACAAAAATAAGGTTTAGTTAAAATTATTTATCTACTTTAAACTATGGTTAGCGGAAATGACAAATGGAACAAATAGCGAAAAGTAGCTTGGAAAGAGAGAAACGTCATTGCTTCCCACTTACCCCCACCCCTAATCCCCTAACCCCTACCCCTAATCCCCTAACCCCTACCTAACCTACTCCTACCCCTACCCTACCCTACCTTACCTCGACCCACCCTACCCCGACCTTACCCTGTCATACCCAGCCCTACCCCCTATCCTACCTTACCCCAACCTCGACTCCACCCTACCCACAATCCCCAACCCTTACCCCTAACCATGATCCAACCCCACTGCCCCTACCTTGGCCCCACCCCGATCCCAACCCCATACCACATGCCCCAAACTTGGCCCCACCTAGATCCTGGCCCCACCTTACCGCCATCCTACCCCCGCGTAGGGGTGGGGTCGGGGTGGGACCAATGTGGTAGTGGGTTGGGGTAGGGTGGTTAGGGCCTAGGGGTTAGGGGTAGGGGTGGGAAGGGCCTAGGGATGGGGTGGGGTCGGGGTCGGGGTAATGTAGGGTAAGGGGTAGGGTAGGATGGGGTCGGGATCGGGGTGGGGCCTGGTGGGGGCATGTGGTAGGGTCGTTGTAGGGAAAAGGGGTACGCGAGGGTGGGGTGGGGTAATAGTCGAGTAGGGTAGGGGTAGGGGTAGGGGTAAGGGTAAGGTACAAGGATGAGGTACTGGGTAGGGTGGGGTTGGGGTGGGGTCGGGGTAGTAGCGTAGGCTGGGTTGGGATAGGGTAGCGTATGCAGCGCAAGAGGTAAATTCGGAAACTGAAAAAAAGTGTAGGTTAAATAATCCTAGTACATGAGATTGGTATACTTAAGCTGCCAAGGAAGTAAACGCCCTCTTAATGGTTCCCTTTTTACAAGACCAAACTCCCCAATTCTGCCTTGCTACGTATCATACGCCCGCCGTGGCAGCAATTTCCCCCCACTTTGGTGCGTCCCTGCTTTGAACGAAAGAAGTAAATATGGACAACAAGGCCGGAGCTTCGAGTTCGGAAATAGAAGTGACCTGGGGCGACCAACAGAAAATTAACCAATTCAGCAGACTAAACACTCGTTTCCATGAGCTGGAAGATGAAATCAAAGTTGCTAAGGTAATAATTTAACCTTTTAAGTGCTTCATTTTTTATTCATTTCTTTTTTCGTAATTATTGGTTGTTGAGAAATGGGCAGGAATTGAGTATTGTTATTAATGAAAAAAATGTCTGATGCAATTTTTGTGTTTATCACGTAACTACTACTGAAATTTCAGTCTCTTTATCATACTCCATGTCTCCATCTTTTTGCTAGAATTCCCCTGATGCCTTCGTGGTGTTCCTCATAGCCCAAGTTTCTAGCAGGAACCGTTATCTCTTTTCCTAACGCAAGCTTTAAGACCCCTAATTAAGCAATTTCAGCTGTTGACTCAATACATATTCTCTAGTTGCTCCTGCCCCCCCAAACTCCAATAATAGCCATGGTCTATCCCACTCTTATATGTTGTTTGGTATATACCTAACAACCCTGAGTTGTGCGTTCTTATTGCTACTAATCAGTTATAACAATCTACTAAATCTGGGACAAAAAGTGCACCTCTCCTCCCCTAAGATAGAAAGGGTTGTTCTTCAATGCAGATGTAGTAATCATGGATTAATTGATGTATATTTAGGGGGGTAAGCCCTTTCAAACTCCCTTGAACAGATATTGAGATTTCTCAAACTTCCTTGACTAACTAGCTGATTGGGGAAAAAATTCTCATTAGTTTTCACTAGCGTGAACTTACCTATTTAAATACAAAAACCTTAAACTAATATCAAGAAAATAAAATGAAAAGTAACTGAAAATGAAGCAAACTTGCATGAGTGAAAGAAATTTGATCTCTTATAATTACTCCAATAAATACCCAAATTAAGGATAACTTATTCATGCACCAACCCATGGAAAGTAAGTAACTGAAAGTAAATAAAAGTGCCAGGGCAAATGCATGTTGCTAAGCTTCTCTTCTCCACATTGATTGCAGCTGCAATGTGCTAGCTTTCTAGGTACATAACATTCATCTCCACCCTCTTTTCACCCTCTTTTCCTTTCTATTCCCTACACTTTTGTTCTACATTTCCTATAAAAATTTGTAATTTATAATTTTAGTTTGGATCTTTTGTGCCTCATTTCATTCGGGTGTTTATCTCACATTGTGCATCTTCACACATAGGCTAATCATGGAATGATACGAGATGCTTTTTATATGAAAGAACGTGTCTTATCCCACACTGCAGATATGTAAAAAATATAGGAACCAGTATTGTCACAGAAAAAAGGATAACACATGTTCTTTTTTAAAAACAATTTTCAGAATAAATCTTCAGTGACATTCCCATCAATTTTAAGTATTTGAGATCTATTTTACTAAAAACAGAGATATCAACGAAGATGTGAAGTAAATGTTAATGCAAGTTGGCTAAAATGAAATGGAACGATATGAATACTATGTGATCATAATATACTCCTAAGTTTGAAGAGTAAATGTTGTAAGACTACTAGAAGACCGACTTTTTAATATGGATGATGGGTCCAGATTGTAGATAATGAAATATATTCAATAATGGCTCACGTGATGGATGTATGGTAAGATTTGAAAAGACAAAGCCCTCGGCTCACGTGAGAGTGGGTATAATGGCTATTGGAGTAAAGTAAGAGAGAACAGCTGAACAAGTTTTGTTGGTTCTGACGCATCATTTGTCGAGAAGTGTCCTCGTACAGAGAGTGGAGTCTTGAAGACTCAAAGAGACATTAGGCTGAAAATGACACATATTGAAAGTGTGAAATAGGACATTAGAGCGTTTGTCCTTAATGACCATATGATTTACCATAGATGATCATGGAAAAAGAAGATTCTGGTAAAAGACTTCGGACAACTTTTTATGGGTTCATGTAGTCAATCCCATTTATCTGGGTTGCTGACTTGCTGTTGTGTTCTTCACAAATAAATTTTAATTTTACACCATCAAACCTATTTGTATTTTATTATTTATAATTATCAATAAGCTACTTTTAATGTTTTAAATTTTAGTATGGGAGAGAAGTATAATATGCATATTTAAGTATGTATAGGTGTGTAAATATATGCATATATACAGATACACTGATACACATATAATAGCTTAATAATACCCGGTTCTTTTATCTTTGGTATGGTTCTTGTGGGCACATAACGGTATGGTTGAGATACAATTTCGGGATGGTTTCACTTGAGAACCAGTTCTATGATAATTTTTTGTTCATTTTGGTTCTGGTACGATTTGGAATGGATATTCGGTATTGGACGAAACAGTAAGATCCATGCTCAGCCCTGATCACTCCTGATGTTCTCGTAGCTGCACCTTAATGCACCTTTCTCCTTTCACAAACATTGGTTTACCCTTCACTTTGGTTCTTTCCCTGATGTTGACATAGTTCTCAAGATATTTAAACTGCATATTTTGTAGTCTCTTATATGATGTTAATCATGTTTGCCTATGTTTGATTATCCAAGCCATGATTAATTTTTGTTGTCTTGCTTTGTGCAATTTCCCTGTTGTTTGTTCTGCATACCAGTTGACTTTATGGCCATAACACCTGGCAGGAAAAAAATGAAAATCTTGAAGATGCGAGCAACGAGTTGATTCTCACTGATGAGGAGGTAGTGCGTTTTCAGATAGGAGAGGTTTTTGCGCATGTGGCGAAGGAAGAAGTTGAGAGCAAGATAGAGGACATGAAAGTGGTTACTAGTAAGAGTCTGGAGAAACTATTGGAAGAGAAGGAGGCGATGGTTGCCCAGATGGCCGGGTTGAAAAAGGAACTGTATGCGAAATTCAAGGATTTCATCAATCTTGAAGAGGATTGATGAAATGACATAGTTACTAATATTGCACTTCGTTGTGCCCTCCACAAATTTACATGTCATTTGATGGGGGCAGGGGGTGGGGGGATCCCTTCACATTTGTTTTTTTTATTCATATTATAAGGATTTTGCCTGCCTGTGAAATTTTCAGTGCTCCATTTTGTTTGGATTTGTTATTGCTATCACAAATTCACAAGCTGTACGTCCTGTTTGATTGTACGTCCCGTTTGATTTTGATTACTTGATGTCTATGTTTAATGTATTCCAACTTCCAAGGACCTAATATTTTAGAAGATGTACAAAATAATGTAGAGAAGTAGAAGCAAGGGATGTAATCTACAGATTTAAAATTTACTCCGTATTAAAGTAGAAAAATGTTGCAAACTTGCAAATAATATAATACCTAGTAACCTAGGGAATAATATAAGAATAGATTCACACTTATAATTAGGAGTGTTTGGAACTGATTCTGATTCTGCTTCTTTTTTAAAGTAGAAGCGGAATCAGAATCAGTTTTCAGAAGCTGGTCTCTCTCAGCTTCTAAAAAAACTGATTCTAGGAGTAAATTAGACACTAGAATCACTTTTGCACTTTCACCCAAACACTCCAACTTATGTTTCTGCTCTCTGAAGGAGCAGAACAGGGAGTAGAAGCAGTTTTAAGAATCAGATCCAAACACCCCTTAATAGAAAGCTCTTATATGGTCTCATACTCTCATACTCTCATTCAATCAGTTGTTTATTATTAGACAAATGGTAAACTAATCTTCTCCTTAATAGCACTACAACACCAAAAACAAGAATCCCGCCCAAACAATTATCATATCACATCTGTCCGATTTTCTTACACTTAAAAATCAACGCCTGATGGTATTTGCTTCATTTTCGTCAAATTACACATTTGCACTGAAACCTATCCTCTGTCATTTTCTCCTTCGCCTGGATGAAACCCTCGGAACTCTCTCTGGACGCACCTCGACAACACCTTTCCATGTTTCAGATTCTTTCTTCTTTTATAGAAATCATCCGAGTCCACCTATTCATGCCGTCAATGTCTTTCGCGAACCAGGTAAAAAGATTTTATTTTTCAAGTTTTTTTTTTTTTTGCAATTGTCCACAGTCAATTACCCATTTTCTTCTTTTCTTTTCTATCACTTAGCCTTCTCCACCGTAACTTTATGTATTAGTGAAAATGCCGACAGCGAAGTGTATTTTAGATCCGCACATTCACTCCCCTTCATGTTCTCTTGATGATGAAATTGTTTTTAACCCTTTATCTGGATCGCCACTCAGCTTTCATTCGAACACTCGAAAGATTTTTTTTCTTCAAATTGCTCACTTCAACGAGGTCAGTGTAATTCCACATTATAACTCTTTCAATTTCCTTCAAATCTTATATTTAATCTCCTGTAATTTCAAATTCTATTAACTGACAATCAACATATTGAGAATGAAACGATACATTGCACTTTGATATATGGCGAAACTGGCTCAGCTGATATATTCATGACCCGTGCTATTTGAGAATGAAGGCTGGTCGTAAATGTTTTGATTGCTAGGAGTTTGTTATAATTCCTCAATGAAACATGTCTTGCTATGATGCCTAAATTCCTAGGATTTTAGAATCTAAAACATATTTATTGATCCGGGACTGCATAAATTAATAAATTGATGCACAAGGGAGAAGATAGCTCTGTTTGTTATCGAAAACGATGTAACAAACAGGTGAATAATATGGATCTAATTCTCAATAATAAGTTAATTGTTTATGCATATTTGGTTTTAATATTTGAAAATTACATTTTTATGAATCACTGACTTTATATATGAATGACTCAATGAACACATTGTGCAAGAGACAACTATGAAATCATGTTAATATGAATAAGAACTAAAATAAATTGAACATTTATCTAAAATAAATTTGTATAGTTTGAGTCTTTCTTTGATTTTCTTCACTACTTTTCTTTATATTTAATTCTCCTAACATTACAAGGGATCCAAGAATACCCTATCAGAGATTATAGAAATTATTGAGAAAGCGAAACTGGGAAAGCTGTCAGAAAGAACTTCCCCTCCAAGGTTCTAAAAAGGGTGTGAATTTGAATCTACCTGTAAAATAGGTAGTCTAAATATTCAGTTTTAACAATGGCAACTTCAATATACATTCATATTCTCGATTATTCTGCCACCTAACATAGAGTGTGTTAAAAATGCAAGTTTTTAAAAAGTTATAGTTTTAGTTTATGAAAATGAAATGATGAACCGATTTCTTTTTTCTAAATTGAGATTTTGGAGAGCAAGTTATTAAACTGATTTTTATAGGCTAATAAGCTGATATATTCTAATTTTTTTTAAAGTTGAACCCTTGATCACATCTAGACACATCTCTAAAATAGATTCCCTTTTCTGATTTTCTTCACTACTTTCGCGTATATTTTATTCTCCTAACAAATTTGAACAAATATCTAAAATAGATTTGTTTAGTTTGAATCTTTCTTTGATCTGAAGAAAGAACCATTCAAATCAATTTTTACACATGAAAAAAGTAGGCTTGGTCAGTTTTGGCCCTATGCTACTGGTAGTTACGAGTATGCATTTTAGCTTCAGTGCAGTTTTTTGTGAAGTTCAGTTTTAACGGGTTGGGAGGAGGGTCAACGACAAATTAGAACCAAGTTATGTTTGGTTTGAATATTTTATCTGTTAAAACATTATTGAGTTCTTGGTTTTGCTTTATTCACTTCAAATGTGTTGATCTTGATTTTTCAGCCTAACAAAAGACAGTTGATGGACCTTAATTGTGTGTTCTTTACACTGTCATATTTTCTTCCTCAACATTTGTTTTAGAGCATATAGATATTCTCATTTGCCTATTGCACACACAAATGTTTCCTCTTTCTGACTTTATTTGCTTAGTTCAAATTCCAGCTTTGTTACGTTGGATTTGTTGCAATCAGTCATGATTAGTTAACAAATCGATCAAATAATCAAACTATATCTCTTTGGTCTAGAGGTGAGTCAAAAATAAGAGAGCTTTGTTAATGCAGCGGTATTAATGAGTAAATGGCCCTTTTTCCTGAGGTTTATTTTAAAAGACCTTAGAATTAGTAAACTTTTCTCTCATGGAACCGGTAGAGAAAGTACTTTCTGATATCATTTTTTTATTTACTCCAGGATGGCAGGATTTATGCCATGTTCCCTTATTACTTTTTAAATGCTTCGTTGCATTTAAAAAAAATTAGAATTTGTTTACTAATTCACACTGCAGCTTATAAGACACATAAAAGCAGCTTTATTTTAAAGAATTGATAAAAGTGGGAGGTTTTCCAATTTTGGAAGCTGTCAAATCCAAAGGGCTAAGTTCTTAATGAAACTGCTGAGTTGGTTGTTCTTAAAGTTTTCCTTAGTTAATACTTCTGTCATCTGTGATGCTTTGCAGCCAATTTTGGTGATTGCTTCTAAGTGCAAGTTGAGATGTTGCCTGAGATGGCTTTCCAGCATGCAACCTACACACATTTTAGAAGACACTCAAATGAGAGTTTCAGCTGCTGGAATATCTGCTATTGAGATAGTTGATTAAATTGAAGAAGAAATAAGGTGAACATGCATATCATGTTTATATATTATCTAAGGAAAGACTTATTATTTGGCCTTCTAACTTTTCTGAACTATTTATGTAGAGCCACAAACATTTTATTTGGGGTAATTGAGCCATTGTACTTTTTGACTAATCAATTGCACTCATCTCACTTTTGTAATTAATGAACACTTTTTTGTGAACAAACAATACTGCAGAGCTCTATCTCTACGAGTTTGGCAATTGCTTTTGCTCAACAAAAATGATTAAGTTAACCTGTTTATGACATTTTTTATTCCGGTTATGACAAATGATTTGAACTTGACGATAAACATAACATAAATAGAAAAAGTACTTTGTGGATAATATTTGTGCATCATCCAACAATTTGGTCTTTACGTGGGTTCAATTTGATAGATTTGAGAAGTACATGGGTTCAAGATAAGTATAAAACAAAGTAGAAGGTTTGGGGCTCAATATATAGAATATATTGAAGTAGTGAAGATATCCAGGAATCTGTTTTCCCTTTTAGAAATGGCAGAGAACATAAAATACTTAGTACAGCTTTACCACTTAACATTCTGATGCTCATGAATCAACTGATATATCAAAGTTCTCTAATCCGATAATTTTTCTTCGAAATCGTGAACATTTGATTAAGATTGCAGGGCTCTACTTTTGTATGCAGATGGCAGAAAAGTATAAGTACCACCAGAGCCCCAGAGGCATGCAGCATGTATGAGGAACATGATAACTCTAATGTAGATTTTATTATCTTCTTGCTCCCCTACTACTGAAATTGTCTAAACTCTAAATGGATATATAGTTTACAACTGTAGCTTAAGTAACTTGATAAACTAAGCTTTTATTTTTTAGAAGGATCATAAAACATCTCTTTAGCCTCAAGGATCAGAAAACACAGACTCTTTAGCCTAGAACTAAAGAAGATCCACAAAACATAAAGAATCACAAAACAGAAACACTTAAGCATCTCAAAATATTGGATTTGGAAACTGCCTCTGAAAAAACTGTAATCTGCTTCCGCAAAATTTAAGAATAAAGAATAAAAGATTAAGTGTCAGACCGTCAGCTATACTGATGGTCTATTATAAATAGAGACATAGTGTAGAAAAGAAATGAAGAAGCAAGGAACTAACTTTAAGAGTGTAAAACAGATCTAAATATCCAAATAGTAGTACTAGAAAGAAATAGGAAGCAAGGGAAAATAGTGCTTTTTCAAAGGTCCATTAAAGAAGCAAGGGAAAGGTGTTCTTTTTAAAATTTCTCAAAGTATTTCATTTAAAAAATAGACAAGGGATAATGGTAGTAGTGTAAAAGGGATTCTAAAATACAAGTATAATTTAGATTGTTTATCATATGTATGCAGGTTGTTTCAGCTATTCTAAAGGGAGGTTGGGGTTTCACAGTTCGCCCTGATTGTGGATGATGTTTGAAGTTTGGTGCAGGATTTTGATAGCATTTCTATTGCTTTTTTCTGGTCATTCTGCAACAAGCAGTTGTTTGTGTAATTTGTTTGATGGCTACGGTTGCTTTTTGTTTCCCCCACTTTGAATACTCTAAGTTGCAATTTGGTTAAAATATTTGTACTTTTTGTTCGAAAAAAATAAAAATTAATTTAGATTATTGGAACTCATTAGTTATGTATGATTGTGTCAACTTTTCTTTCTAAAATGAAATATTTTATCAAGTAAAGATTATATTACTTAAGCTATTTATTAAACCATTTTGGGAA